AAGGAAAAAAGGAAAAAAGGAAAAAAGGAAAAAAGGAAAAAAGGAAAGCTAATTGCAAAAGGAAAAATCTAAAAAGCAAAGAAATTCAAATAAAGAAGAAAAAAGGGGAAAAAAGAAAAACAAAAGTTATAAAGTAAAAAAAATCTAGGAAAAGAAAATAAATGTAAATTCCACAAGCTGGGCATTTCCCACCATTCCCTGTTGAGCTCACTCACTGCTGGTAAATGTCACCCCTGGGACTGGCAGCACTGCCATGACCCCACGGGCCACCCATGTCCCCTCAGCAGTGCCAGGGCGTGTCCTCCAAAAATCCCCATGGCGTGACAGAGCCTTCCCCACACCCAGGAACAAAGGTGTCAGACCAACGAGCCGGGGTGGTGTCCCCATAAACCCCATGAGATACCACAGCACAGGAAAAGGTGTCTTCAGGGTGTTTTGGGAGGAAAAAATGGGAGTGGGGGATGATGTTGCTGATGCCAGGGGTGTTGGCAGCCCTGGCATTGGCCATGGCAGCTCTTCGTGCATCCTCATCAGCCCCACACACATCCCAAAAGCAGGATGAGGAGCCTCCCCCGTGCCCAGGCAGAGGGAACAGACAACAAACACCACCAGGAAAGCAACACCTTTATTTAAAAATAAAAATATAAGGGAATATGGTTTTCTATGTGGATACTGGGGAGCACTCTGGGCTCTGCACTCCTCTGCCCAAGGGAGCCTGGATCCGGCACCCAGGGCTGTGCAAATCCATACGAAACATTCCAGAGCCTGGAGCTCTCCTCAACCTCATCCTCACACAGAGGTGGCTCCAGCATGGAGAGGACAGTCCTTGTAACATGGATTCCGTGGAGGGAGCCACGGGAGAGGCACAGCAGGAGGTGTATTTACTGTTGGGAAACGTTTCAATACAGCATTTCTGTCTCAGGAGCAAAGCCGAGGGTTTTCCACCCAACAGCAGCAGTGGAAAACCATCCTCCAGCCCCCTCTGGGAGCCCCCAGCCCCATCATGCTCGTTGTGCCTTCTTGCTCTTCTTCTTCTCCTCCCTGAGGGCCGTGTCATGGGCTTTCCTCTTCGCAGCCAGTTTGTTGGCCTGTGGAGAGACCCCTGGTCAGAGCAGACCCATCTGCAGACCCTCAGTCCCACCAAACCTCCAGCTGTAGGTGGGGATGGATCCCATGGCACCAGGATCAGGGGTGGGACACAGAGAGCGGCCACGAGGCAGTCCCGAGGGAGCACGAGGAGCTCTGCCCTGCCCTGGGGCAGCCTGGGGGTGCTGGGGAAGGGGCTGGTAGAGCCCAGACCACCTGCCCTCAATGCCTTCTCCAGGTACAGAGAGGAAGGAACAAGGAGATTTGGGAAGAGCCCATCCCAGGATGCCGGTGAAGGGCCCTGTCCCACAGAGCTCGTACCTCACGGACTTTGCGCTTCTTGCCGAACATGATCTTCTTGTAGAGGTATTTCTCCCTCTTCTTCATCATCATGATGGCCAGGCGCTTCTCCTCGCTCTGCTGCTCCTGCTCCAGGCGCTGCTTGTCCTCCACCCGCACCTTCCCCGCCGTCACCTTCACGGGAAGTGCCTGTGGGAGCCAGAGAGCTCAGGAACCCGGATCCCAGGAATCCACCACCCCCATTTCCAGCCCATTCACTGGGGGCCACAAAACAGTCGCAGCTCCCTCTGAACCTGAGCAGGTCCTAAGTGTGGGTGGGAGCTGCAGCTCACAAACATGGGGCCCAGAGCATCCCTGGAAATGTTCCAGGTCAGGTTGGACGGGGCTTGGAGCAACCTGGGCTAGTGGAAAGTGCCCCTGCCCATGGTGGGGGTGGAATGAGATGAGCTTTAAAGTCCCTCCCAACCTAAACCATTCCAGGATTCTGTGAGTGCCCCAGCAGTCCCAGGACAAGAACACTCCACAGTGAGCAGAGCCTCAGCAGGGGCAGTGCCCACCCGCCTCCTTCCAGAGCACCCACCCCGCTGCCAGGCACCCACCTTGTTGCTCTGAGTCTTCTGCTCTTCCATCTTCTTTAATTTCATCTCCTCTTCCCTTTCAGACTCATCTTCCTCCTCCTCTTCTTTGTCATTGTCATCTTCCTCTTCCTCCTCCTCTTCTTCCTCTTCCTCACTCTCCTCATCTACAAGGAGAGACCGTGGTTACCCTTGAGGGGCTCCAGAGCAGGCGCTGGCACCTGCCCAGCTCTGAAACTCCTCCCTGGCTCCCATCACCTGGGTTCTCTCCCCGCTGCAGGGCCAGCAGCTTCAGCTTCTCCGGAGGCACGTAGTCACCCTCCTGCTCCGTCACGAAGGGTGACAAGTGCGGGGGCAGCAGGACACCCGGGAAGTAATCGGCCACGGGCAGGCACAGCTTGGCATTGACCGAGTCAAACACCCACTGAGGCTGCAGGTAGTACCTGGGGGAGGCAGAGGGACCCCATCTCAGGCTCTGGAGCCCGTGGGACAGCTCTGGGGTGGCCCCCATGGCCGTTCTGGGGACAGGCCCCCGTCTCACCCACCTGCCCACCACCTGCTTCTCCACGCGGGGCCGGTCGATGATGTGGTGGGTGATGGAGGGGTCGGTGGCGTCATAGGTGGCCCCAATGCACAGGGACTTGTCCCAGGAGACCTGGCCACCAAAGCTCCTGCCAGAAAAGCCCACCAAGGAGTCAGGCAGGCTGGTGGGACCCTCGGGGTCACCTCACCCGCGGGACATGGGGCAGGGTGGGCCCAGAAGTGCCGGCAGAGGGGCTGTGGGAGGCCAGGGCTGCCCAAGGTGTCCCACCCCCCACGCACCGGATGACGAAGGCCAGAGGCTCCCGAGGCACCTCCCTGTTGAGGAAGAAGCGCAGCCCCTCAAACAGCTTCTTGTGCTTCTCCAGGGCCTCCTGCTCCTTCTTCTTGGCATCCATCTGCTCTGCCGTCTCCTGCTCGGAGCAAAGCCTTCAGCCTCCTCCCCAACAGCCCCTGCCAAGCCCCCTCAGCAAGAGGAGGGTCTCAGGTGCTGTCCCCAGACTCCCAGGACCTCGCTGGCCCTGCCAGCCTTTGCCTGGGCACAGGACAGGCAGGCATGAGTCCCCCACCATGCTCTTACCCCCTCCACCGGGAACTCGTCCATCTCCACCTCGTCCTCGTGGGTCGGTGCCACTACTCGGGCCAGGCTGGAGCTCAGAGCTGACAGTCTCTGCAGTGGGAGGAGATGGAGTCACATCCAGGGGGTGGGAAAAGGGGCAGCCCCATGGAGGAAAGGGATTTCTCAGAGCCAAAAGACCCAGGGACTGGGCAGAATTCAGCCTCCTCCACGGACAGTCCCCAGCACGGGGCAGGAGGGTCTCCTGCCACACAAGGGGAGGCCAGTGGAGCTCGAGGCCAAGCCCAGCTCCTCCCTACAGGGACAAGGAGTTTGGGATCAGCCCCCTCCACCCCTCAGTCCCATGGTGTCAGCAGCATCCCTCACCTCCAGGTAGCTCTCTGAATCCATGGCATACTCCTTGCCCTCCGTGGGCTTCAGCTCAGCATCAGCCTGGCTGTCGATCTGGAGAGGAACAGAGGTGGGGAGGCAGCTCCCAAACATCCCCCCCTGCAGCACCCCAGGGTGCACACCCAGCAGTGACCCCATGGCCTCACCTTGGGGGGGTAGAGCAGGTTGAGGGAGTGGTAGAGGCGGAAGTTGACGAAGCCCAGGAGGGTGGTGTAGAACTCAGTGAAGGTGGCCATGACCCGGTAATCCACGTCTGTGGGGTGCTGCAGGCACACGGGGGGGAGAATGTGTGGATAAAGGACCCTCTCTGCAGGGACAGGGCCCATCCCATCCACATGGGGAGGAAGGTCACGGAATATCCCCATTTAGGAAGGGACCCGCAAGGATTGTCAGTCCAACTCCTGGCCCTGCACAGACACCCAACAATCCCACCCTGTCCCTCAGAGCGCTGTCCAAACCCTCCTGGAGCTCTGGCAGCCTTGGGGCTGTGCCCACTGCCCTGGGGGTGCCCAACCACCCTCTGGGGGAAGAACCTTTTCCTAAGATCCAACCTAATCCTGCCCCCTTCACAAGTCAGGTCACAGCCACCGGCAGACCCTGGGCAGGGAGAGCTCCCCAGGCTGCAAGCAGGGTCCTGCTGCCACCCCTCCCTGCTTGGACACATGGAACACCTCATCCCATCATGGATGGGGACCTTGGGGCTTGGCCCAGGGACTTCAAATCAGGGTGAGGAGTGCAGGGTGTGGTAGAGCTGGACAAGAGCAGGACAAGGAGGATGAGGACAAGGAGAATGGCTTCCCACTGACAGAGGGCAGGGATAGATGGGATATTGGGAAGAAGTTGCCCAGAGAAGCTGTGGCTGCCTCTGGATCCCTGGAAGTGTCCAAGGCCAGGTTGGACAGGGCTTGGAGCAGCCTGGGCTAGTGGGAGGTGTCCCTGCCCATGGCAAGAATGACACGATCCTTAAGGTCTCTTCCAGCCCAAACCATTCTGGGATTCTATGATTCAAAACCACAAAGCCCCAACCTAACTGTGCCCAGCCCTGGAAATCCTGGGAGTGAATGGAGAGGGCACTGCTGTGCCCATGACCTCCTGCCTGCCAAGGTTCCAGCATGGTGGCACCCACAGCCCCCCTTGTCCTGCTGTGTAGGGACACAGCAGAACCTCCCTGCTCAAGGCTGCAGGATCTGACTCATCCCTTCCCTGTTTCCCTCGTTCCTGCACGTTAATCTTTAATGGCTGGTAAAGGTGTGTATTAATAGCTGAGGACATGAAGAACTGAGGAGACTGGTACAGGCAGCCCCGGGGGTAACAGAGGGCTGTGTCCACACGTGCCCCCTGAGCCAGGCCCCGTGGGCTCACCACAGGCTGGGCACTGCCTCCTCTGCCTCAGGATGGACCCTCAGCCCCTCCCTGGGCACAGGATCCCACCGTGCCCTTCCCAGGCACTCACGTCGTGGGCGAAGGCGTAGGGGGTGATCCAGGTGACGGGCTGGCCCAGCACCTCTGCCTGGTAGTAGATGCCCTTGATGGAGAGGAAGACCTGGCAGGAACACAGTGAGGGCTTAGTGGGAGGAAGGCCACGGGGCTGCTGTGTCCCTGTCCTTGCTCCCCCTTCCCTTGGCTTGGTTGCTTCCTCCTCAGGGAGGATCAAACATCCCGGTGGGACACACACCCCACCGGCAGCTCCAGCACAGCTGGGTCAGAGTCCTCCCAGTACCCTCCCAGTGCCCTCCCAATACCCTCCCAGTGCCCAAACCCACCA